TTGTCTCTTCCCCCTCTTCATCTGTGTACATACATTTTGATTGCGGCTCCGGGCGGTTTGCCCGTTCTTATTTTCGTTTCGGCTTTCTGAAATCTGGGTTTGGGTTTTTGCTCACACTTGTCCTTGCGCTGTCCGTCCTGATTGCATTATGTGTATGATTGTCGAATGTATGGATGTATGGATGTTATGACTGCTTGTCTATCTTTTTGTTGAGAATCCCTGTCCTTGCATTATGTCTGTGTCGAATCTTTGCCTGCACCTGATGGGATAAGAATCTGGCCCCGATAGTGATTTTGTTCTCGTTTTTGCTTATCCCGCGATGGGGGTTGCGATATGATTGCATCTTGCATAATCGACGATCCGAAGTCTAGTCCCGCGAACACCGCGCGAGAACACGTGTAAACGCGATCCGAGTCACGCCCTTACACGCATTCCCGTGCGTCGATTCGCTCACCCAAAAAGGATTTGCGGCGGAACCATCATCCCGTACGAGCACGCTGAGGCGCCACTGATCTACCTGCCCTGCACGTGCTCGTGCGCGGTGACGATATCCCGACCCGAGCTATCCCATCGACGATGATACCATGACACGATCTTGGAGCTCAGACTCGTCCTACGACCCGGACTATTTCACCCCTATGATAAACGAGCTCATAAGGACGCGATACCCTTGTCACGCGGAGAATCGGCTATGTCCGCGGGAATTCCATTGCGCCACCTCTAGCGACCCTCAATGCTCCAATTTCCCTTCTCCCGACCACACCTACTACTTCACCCACCCGGGATTTGTTGAGATCACCACCAGTTTCCCTCCTTTCCGCCGCCTTCTCCCGTATCATCAACTCAGTGTCGTTCCGTGGCCGGCCATAGCCCCCTATTGGCCCAATACGTTTTGCGTGAACTGCCGACGTAGCGGCGCACAGAGAACTCAGGAATTCCGAAGGCCCAACCCACGTACGCGGCGGCCTGCGCCACGTGGCGGCCCCCAACGGCCTAACTTGTCTGGACCATCTCCACCACGGAGGGATTTTTTCGTAACCCGCCGCCCACAGTGTCCCGGCCCCTTCGGACTGTGAGACCCTTGCGCGCGCACCCCTCGCCTAATTGCATTCGTACCCTTAAGACTCCCCCACTTCCCCAAAAATCCTTGGCACACCCCTTTTCGCACTTCCAGGCCCACATCCCACTCCGATCAGGAAGTCGCGCTGGGCGTGAGGTTGGGCGCCACAGGTTAGATGCATAGATTTAGGGCTACTGTATCGAAATGAGGTTTTCTTTTTCTAGTGCATATAGTGACACGTTATCTGGTTGAAGGGATTTGCAAACTTCTTTGAGGTATCACAGAAGATGCAACCAAGACAGCAGTATCATGGAGTGAAAGTGGTTTAGGGCGAAACTCAAGGGACTACCGGTAGCAGTGCCTCGAGGAGCAGTGAGAGTGCAGCAAGAGGCAGTGGGAACTCTACTGGCCTGGTGGTAAGAGAGACCTGGTAAAGAGCAAACTAGAGTTGTATCCATTGGGTGCGTGGTGGGAAACCCGTCTAGGCAACAAAGGCTCTTTACAGTGCTTTGGACAGTGATGATGAGAGGGCAGTCTTGACACTGACGAGGGACTTGTTGTTATCGGTTTGGAGGTCTAGAAGGTTGGGCGTTATCTATATTTGTGGCTATATTTACTATGGATTTCTATAGAAAACACTGACCCCGTTTTCTTGTTGTTCTCTAGGCTAGTATAACCTCTGTGCTGCTGTCTTTCGGTCGTATTTTTGGGCACCGTCATCCTTTGGTATGAGGTTGTTTCGTGAATTCCGTGGGAAGTGAAATCCGTATTGTTCCTTTCGGTTCTGTTACATGCATTGCCTTTAAAATTTCATTTTCAGAAACATGTAATGTAAACAGTTCGGATATAGTAATGGGCTATAGTATTGTGGGTGATGGGAATTCGGGTCTATACTGGTTATGAGGTTGGAAAGTTGGCAGTGGTTTAGGGTGAAATTCACAGGACCACCAGTAGCAGGGCCTCGAGGAGCAGTGAGAGTGCGACACGAGGCAGTGGGAACTCTACTGGCCTGGTCGTAAGAGAGACCAGGTAAAGAGCAAACTAGAGTTGTATCCATTGGGTGTGTGGTGGGAAGCCCGTCTAGGCAACAAAGGCTCTTTACAGTGTTTTGGACAGTGATGAGGAGAGGGCAGCCTTGACACTGATAAGGGACTTGTTGTTATCTGATTGGAGGTCTAGAAGGTTGGGCGTTATCTATATTCATTATGGATTTCTGTTGAAAACATTGACCTCGTTTTCCTGTTATTTTCTAGGCTAGTATAATCTCTGTGCTGCTGTCTTTCGGTCGAATTTTAGGGCACAGCCATCCCTTGGTATGTTGTTGTTGTTTCGTGAATTCCGTGGGAAGTGAAATTCATATTGTTCTTTCGTTTTTGTTACAGGCATCGCCTTTAGTGTTTCGTTTTTAGAAACATGTAATATGTAAACAGTTCGGATATAGAAATGGGCTATGGTATTGTGGGTGTGCAGGAATTTGGTATATACTGGTTTTGAGGTTGGGAAGTTCGCAGTGGTTTAAGGTGAAATTCACGGGACCACCAGTAGCAGGGCCTTGAGGAGCAGTGAGAGTGCGACAAGAGGCAGTGGGAACTCTACTCGCCTGGTGGTAAGAGAGACCAGGTAAAGAGCAAACTAGAGTTGTATCCATTGGGTGCGTGGTGGGAAACCCGTCTAGGCAACAAAGGCTCTTTACAGTGTTTTGGACAGTGATGATGAGAGGGTAACCCTAATGCTTATTCTTCCTTCCCAGCTCCTAGTCATTGAGCCTACAGGCTAGTTTTAGTTTCTAAGATTTCGCCGTCTATTTGGATCCTGGCGGAAAGTAATACTGCCGATTTAGGCAACTAAGCACATGGTGCGATAGTAGTTTAGTGTCTATGAGCAGCACTGCAATGATCTGCTAGTTGGCACAGACTGAACTTTAGCACCAACTAGGATGATGCCTTGATTCTGTATGGAATTACTTTGACCTTCAAGGGATTTTGGAAGATTCGAGGGTAGACCAGTGAAAGGAATGAACGCTGCACCCGTTTTCCAGCAACAGCCCAATTAGGGCTATTGGTTTCATATCTTCTGGGTTGTTTTGTGAGGAATTCCCGGCCTCCTTTCATTTCATTTGTAATAAAGCTAATGATAATGATTCTTCCAAAAAAAAAAAAAAAAAAAAGAATTACAACCTACGGCAGCTACGGCCCTTATAGGGTCAGATCCCACTACCCTGGATTATTCATTTTCGACCCTCGATAACCAAGATCAACGGTCAGAAATGAACAATAGGGGCTAGTGGGATCTGGCCCATATACACGTCACTACCGGTAGGTTGCATGGTTCGCGTTTGCCCACCTGCTTTTCGTCTTGATTGCCGGCGAGACCCTCGTGCCCGCCGAACGACCGACGGCAAACACTTGGACGCTTGGCAAGACAGATAGGCCCTGGCTCCACTACTCTCGACATGCACAAAAGACAAAAATCATGGCCGTGTATCGTTCCATCTTCTAGCGGAAGATTGGGCCTCGCTCCACTACTCTCGAAGGGTGCAAAACGAGAGTGAATCTTCCGCTAGAACATGGAAAGATGCACCACCATAATTTGTGTCTTTTGTGCATTTCAAGAGTAGTGGAGCGAGGCCCATTCACTCTCGTTTTGCACATTTCGAGAGAAGTGGAGCGAGGCCCATACATACACTCTTCTTATCTGATGAGCAGACGCACAAAAAATGTTGCGTCTCCATGTGTCCTGCCCCTCTTCTGTGATGGGTTGACCTGCGGGTCTTGATCCCATGCATCCTCATGGACTTCCTGCTGTACTTCATTCGGAGGCTTGTTAGATGGAATGAATCTAGCCCCGAACTGAGACAGATTCATCCCCCGTGCGGAGCCGAATGAATCTACAGCCGAACTGAGACTGATTCATCCCGTCCCGAGCGATGAGCTCTCATGGTTCCTCCCTCCGACATGGACGCGACGCGCTAATCAGACCATCCGATTGAGCGGTCCCATTTGGGACTCTTGGCGGTCCCATTTGGGACTCTTCAGAAAATTGCCCGTGCATAAAGTCGACCTTCAGAACTTCACTCCCAAGATTGGCTCTTCCAATACATGATAATGCATGAGTTCCGCGACTGAGGAAGAAGACGAAGCATCTAGACGCCATTGAAGCCAGGTTCGTATAAAAGGAGATTAGTATGACAGGGTCTTTCTATTTTTTTTCCTACTACTTTCCCGCACTTATCTTTGTTGTTTCTATCATTACAAATAGACCCGCCGGGGCTACGACTATGTCTGCGCCTCGCCTCGAGTGTCTGAGCGACCTCTCTCTCTCTCTCTTTCTCTCTCTATCTCTATCTCTATCTCTATCTCCATGTGCAGGTGGGGCATTGATTACGCTGATTGCCTGGGAGTACCTTTTCCACTCACTGATTTTTCCCCAACTTCTACCATTGGTTGGTCAGTGATTCTAAGCGGAAATTTGTCTGGTTTCCCACTTCAACGTTTACCCAGATCCTTTCCCGCGATCTTGAATACTTGAGCTACTCTAGATCCAAGTTTGAATTGATTGATTGATTGATTGATTGATTGATCGACTGATTGATTGATTCAGTGATTTGGTTAGTGTGGGGACATTGCACAGAGAGTGCTGAGAAAAGCAATGCACAGGAGACCGACCAATCCATAATAGCAGTCTATCGATTAAGCAGCAGATTGATTGACTAATTGATTGATTGATTGATTGATTGATTGTTCTGAGGACAGGCCAGGTTTGTGCGAGGGTTTTTGGTTTTGTTTTTCAGCCAAGTGCGCTTGTGGTCGGGATAGTGCCAGCTGCATGCGACATGACAGCCCTCACCTTTCCGTCTCTCTCTCTCTCTCTCTCTCTCTCTCTCTCTCTCTCTCTCTCTCTCTCTCTCTCTCTCTCTCTCTCTCCCCCCC